GGGTCGCTATGAGTCGGAAACGACTCGACGGCACTTAACAACAACAACAACAACCCGCATCAGTGTGTGGGCCCCAACAAGCCCAAAATTAATCCCGCCCCTTCCCTCCCCATCCCAGTAACCTACTAAGTGAGTTCCCTTTCCCATGCAAACCCTTCTCTGTCTTTTTACAGTAATGGGCTCATACAGTACTTGTCTTCCTGCGATTGACATATTCCACTCAGCATAATGTCCTACAGGTTCATCCACATTGTGAGATGATTTGCGCATCCCTCATTGTTCTTTAATGTAGCACTGTATTCCATTGTGTGCATGTACCATATTTTGGTTATCCACTCATCCGTTGATGGGCATTTAGATTGTTTCCATCTCTTTGCTATAGTGAATTGTGCTGCAATAAACATAGGTGTACATGTCTGTGTGCTGTCTCTCACCTCTTTAGGATACATTCCTAGTAATGGAATTGTTGGGTCAAATGGTACTTCTATTTTCAGTTTTTTAAGGAAACGCCATACTGTTTGCCACAAGGGTTGTACCATTTTACAATCTCACCAGCAGTGCACAAGAGTTCCAATCTCTCTGCAACCTTGCCAGCATTTGTTATTTTCTGACCTGTTGAACTTTGCTATTACTGCTGGGGTGAGAGGACATCTCCTAGTTGTTTTGATTTGGATCTCTCTAATGATTAATGATCGCAAGCAACTTCTCATGGGTTTGTTGGCTGCCTGTATATCTTCTTTGGTGAAGTGTCTGTTCAAGTCTTTTGCCCATTTGTGAATTGGGTTGTCTTTTTGGTGTTGAGGTGTTGAAGTTTTCTATAGATTTTGGAGGTAAGTCCTTTATCAGATATGTCATAGGCAAATATTTTCTCCCAATCTGTAGGTTCTCTTTTTACCCTTTTGACGAAGCCTTTCGATGCATATAAGAATTTAATTTTTAAAAGGTCCCAGTGATCTAGCTTCTCTGCTATCTCCTACACATTCTGGGTTATGCTTGATAGTCTATTTATGCTGTAAATTAGGGCTCCCAGATTTGCCCCTACTTTATCTTTGATGAATTTTATAGTTTTTGGTTTTACATTTAAGTCTTTGATCCAGCTTGAGTTTGTTTTCATGTATGGGGTGAGGTATGGGTCTTGTTTCATTTTTCTACAATTGGATATCCAGTTTTGAAATGTGCTAGTTTTTAATATCCTGATTTACTTTCCAACAAATAAACTATTACAATTAATTTCTGTTTAGTTTTTTCTTTTGATAGTATCCATTTTACAATTCAGTTTTTATAATTGAGAATTGGTTATTCTTTCAGAACATGTCATGGACAGTTTCAATAGATGACATGACACATAGTGGTTCTGTTGTTGTAAGTGACATCGAGTTGGCTCTGACTGATAGCAACCCTATGTATAACAGAGCCCAATGTTGTCTGTTCTTGCACCATCCTCACAACTGTTGCTGTATTTGAACCCAATGTTGCAGTCACTGTGTCAATCCATTTCATTGAGAGTCTTCCTCTTTTTTTCTGACTCTCTACTTTAACCCGCATGATGTCCTTCTCCAGGGGTTAGTCCCTCCTGATAACACGTTCAAAACATGTGCAATGAAGCCTCACATCCTTGCTTCTGAGGAGCTGGCTCTACTTCCCCTAAGACAGACTTGTTTGTCCTCCTGGCCGTCCATGGTATATTCAATATTCTTTGTTGACACCATAATTCAAGTCATCAATTCTTCTTCAGTCTTCCTTTTTCATTGTCCAGCTGGACAACACTTTTCTAGGTTTCCAAAATTAATCTTGAATTCACTGCATTTCCATTTACAGAAAGTTTAAAATGTTTCCACTGACATCTTATACAGATAGAGCTGTAGACTTCTATTGCAATTTGCAATAGATTATGAAAAAGGAAGTAGCATATTATATGGACAATCACCAAAACTGAGACAAAAGCCTAATACCCTATATTCTCTAAAAACCATTCAAATCATGAGATCATTAGGCACAAGCACATCGAAGGCATGGGTAGAACAGTGCTTCATTGTTGCAAGCATAGGATGCCACTTAGTATCACCGCCTGCATTGTTCTGAACTGCCTCGATATGAAGAGGCGACTTCCATCTCACTCCAGATTTAGGGAAAAGAGGTTCAGGACCGTTTCTTTTGGCCCACACCCTTCTGTGTCTTTTTCTCTCTCTTGGCACTCTCTTATTACTCCAGAATTTTTTTTTTCTTTCCAAAAACAGTCTGTGAAATTTTTATCCCTTTAAAACATCTTTCATTGGAACCCTTATAAATCAACTGAGGTGAAGTGGAATTTTCACTTACATTTAAATCTCTTGGTCCCTCAGGAGCGCCATACTCTCTAAGTTATTTTAGGTAGAACTGTGTATTTCAGCTTTTCCTAGAGTTAGAACTTCAGATGGCTTAAAGGCATTTTCAACTTTTTCAAACAAAATAGGTGGCCTGTGAAATACACTTAGCCTTTGGAAAGACAGCCTTCTTGGAGGAATGCCCTAAAATTTTGAAAAAATCACATTCCTATAGACTTTCCTGATTTCAGAGCTTTCTAATAAAACTTAAATTAAAAAGGGTCTCAAACACCTTCATTTTCATTGTATTTTCACTTACAGTTCAATCTTTCAGTCCCTAAGGAGCACCATACTCTTTAAGCTATTTTGGCTAGAATTTTATATTTTTGCTTTGCCTTGAGTTAGAATTTCAGATGGCTTAAAGGCATTTTCAACTTTTTTTTAACAAAATAATGGCCTGTGGAATATAATTAGCCTTTTGAAAGAGATATCCTTTTCATAGAAATGCACTAAAATTTTGAAAGAATCACATTCCTGTAGACTTCCATGATTTCAGAGAAGCTTTCTAATAAAATTTAAATTAACAAGGGTCCCAAACATTTTCATTTTAATGGTCTTACCCAAACACTCTGTCATTTAAATTTCCATAGAAGCTTGATGCTTACAGAAACTATTCTAAGTCCTGTCAAACCTTACTTAAATCTATCTGTTTGAAGTTGCTTTTTATATGCTAGGTTTTACTAAAGCAGAATGCAATAAAAAAATGCTTCAGTATTTTTTTAAAGATTCAGACTGTTAGACTAGTTCAGTCAACCTTGACACTGCTGACATTCTGTGCAAGATAAATTCTTTACTGTGAGGGGCTGTCCTGTGCACAACCAAACAGTGTCTCCAGATGTTGCCAAATGCCCACTAGAGGTGGTAACAGAAGCACAGGTCTAAGACATACTACTGCTTTGTGCATTATCAAAATCAAATCTGAACTATAAAAAGCTTCAGTCTTTATTCTTACAAAGGAGGCATGTAACATAAAACGAAAAGAAGTGGAACCAAAATTTTCTGGTGGTGAAAACATATTTTTAAATATAATAAAATTTAGATTAAAATTGTAGACGGGCCAGTTTCTGGACTGCTAGGTCAGATTTCAGCTGAACCTCAGCCACTTTCAAAGTAATTTCTCTATAAAGAGCACCACTCACTTTTAGGTTCAATGCCAATGTCATTTGCTTCTTTTCTCTCTGCAGCTCTTTTCTGTACAGATGGATTTTTTCCTCACTGTCTGATACAGAAGCCACAATAACACTGCTCTGATCTTTGCTTGCTTCATGCCGCTGCACAAAGTTGCTTTCAACCTCAGCTAAGGCAGAAGAAAGAGAACTAGTAAGGGAAACCAGTTCCTTTTCCAAACTTAATGCCAAACAATCAGTTAGGAAATCCTCACTTCCAAATTTTAGCTTTTTGAAGAAACAGTTTATCGGGAGAACTCTAATGAGATAATGAAGGCACTGGAACAAAGCAATTTGATTCCTGGAATTAAAAAGCAAACATTTTAAGTATCAGGACAGAACTAAGCAATCATGTGCAATATATTGTAGGAATCAATTAATATTTAAAACACTTTAACATTGAACAGAGCCAATAATGTATGTGATCACTGGTAAAATTCAGATTGTAGCAATAACATACACATATTCTATACCAAGTCAGTTAATACTAATCAGGTTGCTTCCTGATTAATGATTTTCCTCAAATAATAAGATCAGAATACTATTTTTAAAATGTCATTGTTGGGGATAGGTAAGTGGGAAATTATAGAATAATTATTAAGTTCTAATCAACCTCTTGGTAGCATAGTGGCTAAAGCACTTGACTGCTAACCAGAAGGCTGGCGGTTCAAACCCACCAGCCACTCCTCGGAAGGAAGGTTGGGCAATCCTACTTCCGTAGTGATACTGCCTCGGAAACCCAAGGAGGGGTCGCTATGAGTCGGGGCCAACTCGACGGCACATAACAACAACAAATCAACCTCTTAAAAAAAGCCCTAAACAAACACAAAATTAAAATTTAATCTTCAGTTTCTAAATGAGGACACTTGTCCATTCGTGCTATACTAAGCAATGACTATGAATGTCCCATGCTAGCACAGAACTGTACCATGGAGATCACTGTTGGACCACATACACACTCACCACACCTAGGTACACCAAGCTCTATTCCAATTTGGTGTGCATTACCTGCAATACACTAGTAAAATTCCTTCATATGGTGTTCTTTGATTCCACTTGAAGAGTGTTCCATAAAAAATTCCTGGCCTTTTACAAAACCAAATTTCTGGAAATTCTCTGATTACTTCACAATGCAGATACTCCAAGAACCACGTCTTCATTGAAGTCAGGGTATGGTCAGATGATGTGACTTGAAAACAAAATCTGTCTAATGTTGCAAGAAGTACAAAATAGTCTTCCATGTGTTCTGTAAGAAAAAAAAAGTCACAAGCTCTAAATTTTGTCCATTATCAAATACACAGTTTCTTAAAATTTTCTGATTCAATTAAGCATGTGATTAAAAAGTACCAGCAAAAATTACCTATAGATTCATTCTTTGGAAATGTCACTAGGTATTTCCCTCTTGAAATATCTTCCAGACTTACAGAAAGTCTGCCACAAGGAACATAACGATCTTCAAAACAGTGACCATTTTTTCTCTCCCTAATTTGCAGTAGCACAATGCAACAGAAATTATTGAGTGCTAAAAGAGGTGGAAGAGATGTTACGGCAGTAATTGTATGGACACAGCCTTTCTCAGATGGTTGTTGACAAACACAACTTTTTTCTTCTTCACTATGAGGGGTCAACTTGATCCTTTTTGCTTCTAATCCTCCTTCATGTGGTACAGAAGGTGATGGGAGTAGAGAATCCATACTCAAATTAATCACCCTATTTTGACACTTAAGCAGAAAGTTGGAGTCACAAGCTTGATCCAGTAACAGTGATAAAGTCACATCCTTCAGAGACCTGGAAATAATCCACAGAGGTCAGTTATAGTTTATAAACTCATTCTTTAAAGTTAAATACATAATTAATACCAGACAAATAACAAAATTATTTTCATTCTCTGTTTCTAGGAAACATTTCAAAGGTGAAATATATCAGAAAATTAAGTCAACACCACAGTTTTAAAGATTCTATAATAGCATTCCTCTTAAAAAAAAAAAGTGACTTCCTTTGCGTTTCTGAGGCTGTAAATCTTTACAGAAGTATATTGCCCAGTCTTCCTTGTGTGGAGTGGTTGATGGGTTTGAACCGCCAACCTTCTGGTTAGCAATCAAATGCCTTTAGGCACTATGCCACCAGAGCTCCTTCTCTCTTAAAATAGGCAAGCAAAAATATTATAACTATGCTGCACTGAAAGGAAATAATTTTTTCCAATTTAAACTGAAAATACAGAAACAAAAATACGACATTTTTAAAATGAATGATAAAATATCTGGATTTTGTAAACTTTCACCCAAATCACAGTAAGAAAAATATACATACATATATCCAGATTTTATTTTTAAAGGTAGGTTTTCTCTCTTCTTAAAGAAGAAAAAAAAATTCATTATTAAAAAAAATTTACTTTGGTAAGGATTTAGAATGCAAAGATTTGTAAACTAAAAATTGTATTTTATAATCCCGTAAATGACTTCAGTAAAAATCTGCTTCTGAACACAAAATATTGTCTGTCCCTTAGCAATTCTTTCCAGATTTACATGTCTAACAATTTACAACAATTATACAGGCTTGTTTTAGTATATTTCCAATTGCCAAAGTTTATCAAGTAAAAATAGGTATGGATGGTGATATAACCACAAAGAGGGGATTTTAACACCTAGGAAGTTCACTGTACATACTTAATGGGTTATAGCCCTAAGAATAAAAAAGAACACAGACACATACACACACACACACACACCCCTGCAGAAACCTTCAGCAATCTATAGTAAGGACATTGCTATTGTTATTCTGGGAACATCAAATATACATTGTAGAATAAAGCAAATGAGTAATTACATTGGTGCAACTAACAATTGGAATGTTCAGCATGAGAAAGGAGGTAGATGCAAGACTGGTGAGGCTAGGTAAAACCCCTGAAGTCCTAAGTCTGAATTGGAAGTATCAGTATGGATTTGTGCTGTTTTTTATCTCTTAAAAGAAACAAAACAAAAAAATTATTTCCTACTATGCCCATACAAAGGCCTAGAAATAACTACCACTCAGGAGCAATGAGCTGTTCCTGTGCCCCAATGCTATTTCTTAATTAAAAACTCTATTTGAGGGTAGGGAGCTCTGGTAGCATAGTGGCTAAGATGCTTGCCTGCTAACCAGACGGCTGGCGGTTCAAACCCACCAGCCACTCCTCGGAAGGAAGGTTGGGCAATCCTACTTCCGTAGTGATACTGCCTCGGAAACCCAAGGAGGGGTCGCTATGAGTCGGGTTTGACTCAACGGCACATAACAAAAACAACAACATTTGAGGGTAAGTAAAAAATTGATGAGGGGGCATTTCTTATCACCATTTTGCAAATCCTAAATGAAACAATGGAACTAGGCAATGCTCATCAACAGCTGCTAATATCACAAAATGTAAATGATGAGACCTTATGTGCCTCCTGATAGAAGAATGCAAAGTGTACTTATTTATTATGCATCTATTAAATACACTTGTTAAAAACAAATCAAGCATTAATCTGATCCTGGTTCTAAGTCTAATACCAATTTAGAGGAACTACATGAGATGTAACTCAAATGCATCAATTCTTTTTCAGTCTTCCTTATTCATTTTCCAGTTTTCACATGCATATGAGGTGATTGAAAATATCATGGCATGGGTCAGACCATGATGTCCTCAACGTGACATCTTTGCTTTTCAACACTTTAAAGAGATCTTTTGCACAAGATTTGCCCAATGCAATACATTATCTGATCTCTCGGCTGCTGCATCCATGGGCATTAATTTGTGGATCTAAGTAAAATTAAATCCTTGACAACTTCAATCTTTTCTCCATTCATCATGATGTTGCTTACTGGTTCAGTTATGACCATTTTTGTTTTTCTTTATATTCACATGTAATCCATACTGAGGACTGTAGTCTTTGATCTTCATCAGTAAGTGCTTCAAATCATCCTCACATTCAGCAAGCAAAGTTGTGTCTTCTATGTACACAGGTTGTTAATGAGCCTTCCTCCAATCCTGATGCCACTTCTTCATTGCAAAAGGGGTATGGGGGCAGTTTTGTCTGACCTCCTCTAACCTCACAAGAGGAGAAAAGGATCAAGATCCATATCAACAGCCTAAGGCTTATTTCTATGAGGCAGAGGTCAGGCATGCCACCACCCTCCAAATTTTTCACTAATTCTGACCGTAATCGTCCCTCCCACAGCACTCACTACTTCTCTGCTGAGTTTGATAATTCACTGCAGTGGCCACACAAACCTCACAAACAATACTCATGATTATGGGGTTTATTTGGGAAGTTAACTGGCTACAAAACAATTCAGGATACTGTTCTTTGTTCGGGACAGCGTCTTCTCAGCCATGCCCACAGGCATCCCTCTCTTTGGCCTTCAGCCTCTCAGCATGGCCTATGCCCTGTTAGAGCAAATGTTGCAAAGCTCTTCTAGCTCTGCTGATAGGTGCACCCTACTCCACCAGCATGCCTCCTGCCCGAAGTCACTCATCTTTCTCACTCCTTGGGCCAGGAGCCTCCTGCTCATTTTGTGCCATTCTCTTGGTTCTGCTGCCTCTGCTGCTGCCATCTCTCTGCCTTCTTAGTGCAGTGATCTCAGGCAAAGGACACACTCTACTCCTGCCTCTTCTCTCTTCATGGCAGTGAGATCCCTCTCTCCTCTGGGATGGCTCATTTGAAGATTGCTGTCATTATTAGGTGCTGTCCAGTTGCCTCTGACTCACAGAGACCCTGTGCACAACAGAACACAACACTGCCCAGTCCTGTGTCATCCTCGCAATCCTTGCTATGCTTGAGCCCATCAGTGTAGCCAGTTTGTCAATCCATCTCACTGAAGGTCTTCCTCTTCTCATTGACTCTCTACCAAGTATGACATCTTTCTCCAAGGAATGGTCCCCTCTGACAACATAACCAAAGTAGGTGAGACGAAGTCTGGCCATTCAAGCCTCCAAGGAGCATTCCGGCTACACTTCCTCCAGGACAGATTTGTTAGTTCTTCTGGCGGTCCACAGTATTTTCAGTATTCTTTGCCAACACCACAATTCAAAGGCATCAACCCTTCTTTGGTCTTCCTTATTCACTGTCCAGCTTTCAAACCCATCTGAGGTGATTGAAAATACCATGGTTTGGGAGAAGTGCAGTTCAGTCTTCAATGTGACATATTTGCTTCTTAACACTTTCAAACGGTCTTTTGCAGCAGATTTCCCAGTACAATACGACATCTGATTTCCCGACTGCTGCTTCCATGGATGTTGAGTGTGGATCCAAGTAAAATGAAATCCCTGATAACTTCAACCTTTTCTCCATTTATCATGATGCTGCCTATTGGCTCAGTTGTGAGGATTTCTGTTGTCTTTATGTTGAAGCGTAATCCATACTGAAGACTAAGTCCGCAGTCTTCATCAGGAAGTGCTTCAAGTCTTCTTCACTTTCAGCAAGCAAGGTTGTGTCATCTGCACACTGCAAATTATTAATGATTCTTCCTCCAGTTCTGATGCCATGTTCTTCATACAGTCCAGCTTCTCAGATTAAATGCTCAGCATACAGATGGAATAACTATAGTGAAAGGATACAAGCCTGATGCACACCTTTCCTGATTTTAAACCATGCAGTATCCCCTAGCTCTAGTCGAACAACAGCCTCTTGGTCTATATATAGGTTCTGCATGAACACAATTAAGTGTTCTGGAATTCCCATTCTTTTCAATATTATCCATAATTTGTTATGATCCACACAGTTGAATGCTTTTGCATAGATGATAA